TCCGATTGAAAGATAGCATCGGGAACATCAGCTTGTGAAGTCCTGCGTGCACAAGAAGAGCATACGCCGAGAGTGCGGGACATCTTCCGCACAAGGTCAGGGGAGAAAGGAGAGCACTGCTCAGATATGGCTAACTGCGCAGGGAGGGGGGATGGGAAGAGAGGAGGGGAAGCGAGGAAGCTTGGGAGACTGAGGAGGGAGCGAGGGCGACGGGGCCGAGAGCGTCGGGTGGAAGGGGGAGGAGGAGGAGAAGGAGGAGCTGGAGGAGGAGGAGGTGAACGGAACAGGGAAGAGAGCACGAGGAGCTGGAGAAAGAGCAAGGCGAGTCCCTGAAGGCCTCCAGAGGTTCCTGGAGGCCTCTGGGAACCTCCTGAGGCCAAAGAGGGGGCGAAAACGCCCGCAGATCTCGATCATCGGCGGAGGAGGAGGGCAGCGGAGCAGGCAGAGAAGCTCGGCATCCCCCTCGCCACCCTTGACCAGTACTCCGACTTGGACGTCGCTATCGACGGTGCGGACGAAGTGGACCCGAACCTCAACCTTGTCAAGGGCGGCGGGGGCGCCCTGTTCCGCGAGAAGATCGTGGAGATGTGCGCGAAGAAGTTCATCGTGATCGTGGACGAGTCCAAGATGTGCGATGGACTGGGCCCAGGTTTTCCGGTGCCGGTGGAGATTGTGCCCTTTTGCCACGAGCACACCATGAGGGTGATCGCAGGATTGCCGGCGCTGAAGGGGTGCAAGCCGGTTTTACGCCTCGGCGATTGCTCGAACAACAAGCCTGACGGCGACGCTCCCGCGGTGACTGATAATGGCAATTACATCGTGGACTTGCAGTTCACCGATCCCATCAAAGATCCCGTGGCTGCTGGCCAGCAGCTGAAAGACACGGTTGGGGTGGTAGAACACGGCCTCTTCACGGGCATGACTACTGCAGTGATCATCGCGGGGGCTGACGGGATCTCCGTAAAGGAGGCTTGAAGTTACAACCGCCGAGTCTTGCGGAGCCCATGTCTGGTTTGCGTGTTTTCTTGATTTAGGTCCGTGCCCAGCACAGGACAGGTGGTGTGCTATTGTATGGTCAGAACGTGCTTTCCTTGTTGTGACAGCACTGCTGACTGGAAAGTCCACTATGGTTCGAAAAGGATACGCAAGCCTTACGTACGCAGTGGGATGTATAGCTGCATTTTGAAAGCCAAAATGAGAATCGCCATCACCATCAGCATCCAGTACGAATGTCATCACCGTCAACCGAAGTCATGTTGGACAAATTGCTGCGAGTATGATTTCACTGGGGAGTTTGGTGGATGGTGCGAGATGACGGCGGAGGTGTTGACCACACGGCGCAGCACGGTTACACGTGGAGTCGAAGTGGCCGAGGGCACATTCAGCGCCAAGTATGTCCGTCACATGGGGGGGGGGGGGGAAAGTTCCAGACACCAGTTCCTGAAAGGCTCCCTGGTGGCACCGCTCAGGTAAGATCAGCATTGCATGGGGCTATTGCCTCAGAAGTGGCTCTCTTCAGGACTCCCTTCGGAAGCGAAGACGAATCAAACAACGGATGAGGACAAGCGAGAAAAATCGGCCGTGCTTCCTGAGAAGCACCTCTGCGATAGCGTCGGCAGTTCACGAGTATGCTTAGATATAAAGGTGAGCTGTTTTGTTCCTCCCCGGCGAAACGCTCGTTACCCGCCCCCCCCCCCCCCGGGTGATGCCAACGATCGTCTTGGGCGGGGAGGCCTGGACCCCTACATGCTAGGGGGCGGACTGTGCTCACAGGCATGGCGTGGTGCTGAAAGGCGTGCTTGCTGCTCATAAACGTGTCGCGGCGCTCGCAGGCTCCGCACCTGCTGCGGCGCCAGGCTCACAGGCACAGCGTGGTGCCGCAAGGCCTGTTTCGGTGCTCCCATGCGCGCTCCTTCTGTCATTCCTGTTGTTCCTCCTGCTGTTTCTGCTGTTGCTGCTCCTTTTGCTCCTCCTGCTGCTCCCCCCCCGCTCCGTATTCCCCTCCCTCAACGAAGGCCGCCACGACCGTTAACAGAGGAGAGGAAGAGAACAGGGAAGAAGAGGTGCAGGAGGAGAAGGAGGTGTAGGAAGAGGAGATGAATTACGAGTCCTGAAGGCCTCCGTGGTCTGCGGCGAGTCTTGCAAGAAGGTCTTGCAAGCTACCAATGTGCTCGTTGGCACGTTTGGCGTTCTGGTGTACACAGGCGTTGTGGTGCACGGAGGCACTGTGGCGTACGTAAGCGTTGCGGTACAATCGAGCCGTTGATCAATAAACCTCCCGCAAAAAAAGCCAGCGCTTCTTAACCAACTTGCCGGAAAGCTGGCCCAGTTTCTGAAGCACGTTCGCCCTTCCAGCGTCAGTTAACTACAAATGTTGGCCCAGGTAGTTTAAAGAAACGTCCGGGAAGTTGGCTCTTGAGGAATTTCTTTATCAGGTTCTCGGTTGTACACATGGTTGTTGTAATGTACACAGGCGCTGTTGAGTACACAAGCGCTCTGGTGCATGCAGGCAACGAGGTGTACGCAGGCGCTGTTGCGCACACGGCTGCTGCAGTTTACACAGGCACTGCGGTCTACATAGGCGACGTGGTGCTGCGGTGCACGCGGCTGTTGTGGTGTACGGAGCTCTGCGGTGTACACAGGCGGTGGTGTATTGCATGCAGGCATTGGGCATGGTCGTGTACGCAGGGACTGGCGCACACGGGCGATTGATGCGCCGGTGGCGCGGACGCACCTTGGCGGGTGCACGCCGCGGCCGCCGTTACCATTACCCTCGCCCCCCCCCCTTGGGTAACGACCCTTACCCCGGAGTGAACAACGCTAACAAGAGACGGGGTCATGCTTCTGCCAAGCAAATACCAAGGCATCATCGTACTCAGAAGCGTCGGGCGCACGGGCTCACCCTGGACGTGAAGGTCGCCGATTTCGCCGATGCATCGGCGATGCGGCGCGATCCTTCGACCCCATCTACTCCGACCCCATCTAGGAGGCCTCTAGCTTCTGCGTGCGCCAGCGCAGGTGCGGCACGCCTTGCCTTCGTCGCTCGACGGGCCAGTTCGGCCTCGCTTGGAGCCCAGGCCTTCCGCCCAGCCACGGCGGCGTGGGCACCCATGGCCTTGCTGGTTGCTTGGCCGTGGGGGCCGGCCCGGGTGGCCCCTCCTCGGCCGCATCACAAGTTGCGGCCTCAATCTCCGCCTAGGGGTCTTCGGTTTCTCCTCCAACAGTCGGAAACTGGAGCATGTACATTACCAGTGGCGGGATGCACAATCCCAGCACGTTTTGAGGGTCCGGGGCGGCGTCGGGGTGGTGTGGTGCATAAGTTGTTGTTCTCCGCATCCCAGGGAAACAGCGAAAAATGGACACACCAGGACCCCGTATACACCAGGATCTGCTTTTTCCTGTTTGCACCTTTCAGAGCAGGGCCAGGAAAGCTCAGGAGGGAAAGAAACACACAGACACAATTAATCGTCGACTCCCAGGAAAATATGGGAAAATATGGGAAGTGGAGGGGAAGACAAAAACCCAGAATATGGGAAATTATGGGGAATCTGTTTATTTGTGTGTATTTATGTGTGTGTGTGTGTCCTGGGGCCCCTTCAAAAGCGTCGGTGTATAGGGCTCGACTCCTCAGCCAGGGCCTCCTCTCCCCTCCCCTCGCGGGGCGGCGAGCAGGCCCCCCTGGCTGGAGGGCCTCGGCCTCTGCGGCTGGGGCAGGGCATGCTGCGCCGGTGGCCGACACCCGCCAGGCTTTGATCAGGAGGGGAAAAAACACACAGACACAATGAATCCTCGATTCCGCAGAAAATATGCAGAAATATGGGAAGTGGGGGGGAGGACAAAACCCCCCCAAAAAAATATGGGATAGTATGGGGAATATTTTTTATTTGTGTGTATTTATTTCTGTGTCCTGGGGCCCCTTCATTTGAGCCATCGGCACGCTGCAGAGAGATCGGCATCAGTTCACCAGCGACAACAATGGCGGCAACGGTCATCATCCGCATCGTCCCCAACCGTTGCCATCGTCAGCAGCGTCATCCTGTGCAGGGTCTTCCGATGTCGGCCGACACCTCACCGCACGAGGTCACTGTTCGCGCTCGCACTTCCGAGCTCGGTGCGCTATCCCATCACGTCGCGATGATCGTCAGCATCGCCATCCGCCGGGCCCGAGGAGTTTGCCGCGCCGCCCGGCACCCGTGCGCCCCGAGCTTGCGAGGCCGGTCGTGCCAGGAGAAGCCGACCCCAGGCACAGACCATACCCGGCATGGCTCTGCTTACCGCCGCGGTGGGCGCCTCCGGCACGGCCTTGGGCAGCGCGCTCAGCGGCGGCGGGCCGCGCGGTCGCCAATCACGACCTTGAGGCTAAGTCGGGCGTGCCCCGCTATAGGAGAAAGATTCAAAAGTAGTCCAAAAATAGTCTGGTGACGACTTTACGACTCCTTGACTGTTCTTGCATGTGTTTTACGATTCGTCATTTGTCCTCCAAAATCCGCCTGTAGGAGGACATGCCCGACCTAACATTGAGGGACAATTGATCGTGCGATCGTTGATCGCGTGATCAGCCTGGCCTGGTCAGGCGGTCGGCTCCGCATCCTGCATACCCGATCGGCTCCCGGTCAGGGCGGAGCTCTGGAGGGGACAGTAATCGCCCCCCCATCCCTTGGAACCGCCGGGGGGGGTTGGGCACGTGCTGTCGGAACGGGCTGGAGGGCGGGTTGGAGGAAGAGGGGGAGGATGACAGGGGAACGAAGAATGACATAAACGTAAAGACTCGGAGGTCCGCGCAGATTTCTCGGATCCGCGCTGGACCCCCCTCCCTGGCGCGCGGAGCGCGCCAGGGGCGGCGCCCGAGGCGCCGCCAGGGGGCCCCAGCGCCGATCCGAGAAATCCGCGCGGACCTCCGAGTTGTTGTCCTTATGCCATTCTTTGTTCCCTTAGAGGAGGAGGGGGAGGAGGGTGGAGGGGGGCGAGACTGGGCAAGCTCAGTCGGAAGGTGAAGCCCTCCCCCTTGTCCTTATTCTTTGTTCCCTTAGATGAGGAGGGGGAGGAGGACGGCGGGGGGCGAGACCGGGCAGGCTCAGTCGGAGGGTGAAGCCCTCCCCCTTGTCGATGAGCACCCCGTCCGGAGTGGCCGCTGTGCTCGGCAGGCGGAGGGGCGGCCGCGGATGCCGTGGGCGAGCCGCCAAGGCCTGGTGACGATCGGCAGCTTCGCGTGCCTTCCCGGCGGGAAGAAGGAGGATCAGAGCCCCGAATCATCAGGGGTAACTCGGGTCAGGGCTAACTCGGGTTCGCTCTTCGGCATTCCGAACCTGAGTTGCCCCGGGCCCGAGTTACCCCGGATAATTCGGGCGCCCAGGGCCCCGAATCATCAGGGGTAACTCGGGTCAGGGCTAACTCGGGTTCGTTTTTCGGGAATCCAAACCCGAGTTACCCCGGACCCGAGTTACCCCAGATAACTCGGGCGCCCAAGAGGAAGAGATAGTCGTAAGCAGCGATGCGTGCGCCAAGACGATCGGCGTTGCCATGTGCCTGCCCGCAGACAGCTGGAGGAAGACCCCTCGGCAGGTCACCCTCATCGGCGAGCTGCTGGTGATGAGCAGGCGCCCGGGTTCGGCGGACAGCTCCCTTCAGCTCGGCGGCACGCACGTCGAAGCGGATGACTGCATCGTCAAAATCGTTTCGTTCTCTGGGGCAGTCTTGGCCACCTTCTGGCTGAACAGCCCAGTTGAAGCTGCGCGTTGGGCGGGGGAGCTGGATTTGTCTTCCACGACATTGCCCAAGATGATGAGTTTGAATAGACAGCAGATGGAGAAGCTCAGGGCCGAGCAGGCTCTCTGGGAGGGGAAGATCGCCATGGCGAAGGACTCCAGCACGCACCGGGAAAGGCTGTTGGTTGAGGTGGCCGAGAAAGAAAAGAGTATGTCCGAGCTGACCTCGGAGATCGAAAGTTTTAGGGACTTGCCGAAGACGCTGAGCCTCGACGGTCACCAGATCGAGGAGCTGGAGCAGATCGCCAAGGACAAGGAGAAGCAGGCTGCTGCGCTGCAGGCACAGCTGGACGCCTTTCAGGCGATGCCGAAGATGATCAGCCTCAGCAGGAGGCAAATCGCGCAGCTGGAGCAGAAGGCCGCGTCGGCAGAGGGCCGTGCCGCGGACCTGCAGCAGGAGCTGGAGGCGTTCCAGGAGAAGCAGAAGCGGCTGGCCGTGGAGCAGCAGCGGGTGGCGCAGCTCCGGGCCCAGCAGAGCCAGAAGGACAGCGCCATCGCCTCGCTGAACTCGAGGCTCGCGCAGTTCCGGGAGCTGCCGAAGATGCTGAGCATCCGCCGCGTCCAGGCAGAGAAGAAGGACGCTCCCCAGCCACGCTGCACGGCGGGCGGAGGGAGTTTTCACGAGAACCCCCGGGGCGGGGCTCGCGGCGGGAAGCGCTGCGGGAGAGCGGCATTGGGCCCCCTCCCTTCCCGACCTCAGAGGCGTCCCCCTGCTTCGGGTGGTCGGGCAAGGAGGGGGGGGGGGGGAAAGGGGGGGGGGCAAGGGGGGAGGAGGAGGAGGAGGAGGAGAGGAGGAGGAGGGAGGAGGAGGAGGAGGAGGGCAGCACAGCAGGAGGAGGGAGGGAAGAAGAGAGGCAGGGAGGGCCGTTCTCGTCGTCGTCGTCGTCGAGAGCCGCCGCCGGCGCGCCGCCGTCGGAGGAGGTCGAGCAGGACGACCGCATCGCCGAGCTGGAGAGGCGGCTGGCGCAGGCGGCGGAGCCCTCCCCTGGGAGGGGGGGGGGGCAAGGGGGGAGGAGGAGGAGGAGGAGGAGGAGGAGGAGGAGGAGGAGGAGGAGGAGGAGGAGGAGGAAGAGGAGGAGGAGGAGGAGGTGGTTGCTTGTCCGCGCCCCCATGGGCACCTTCTCGTATTTAATTGTTTGCGGCGTCTCTTGCGTCCACACTGGCAGCAGCATGCATGCGTTACCACATGCCTACGTCAGCGCATTCATATCTTTGCCTCGATTGCATCACTGGAGCTCTACAACCTTGACGCTCAACTTCGTCCAACGAGAAAGGAAGGGAAGGACCATGGCAAATCCAAGGCGCACCAACGATGCTGCAATAAACCCTCCAGGTCCACTCTTCACAGGTCCCTACAAGAATGGATTGTCATTGCGGGAAATGCCCATTTGAAAGAGAATATCTAAGAATCTCGAATCGTGCCAAAACGCCACTCTTGTAATTTCAGCGCCGCGAATCAACGTTACCGGTTTGTCTTGACAATCCTCAATCGCACCAGAGCGCCATACTTGGAACTTCAACACCGCGAATCAACGTGAATGACATCCTCTGGCAAGCCGAAACCATGCCAGAACACAGCTCCAGGAGGTCAACCTTACTAACCTTTCAAACTGATACAAACGTTTAAGGCGAATGCGCACGGCGCTAAGGCGAGAGCCACAGTTTGAAACGGAGCCGCCCTCCATCTTTGAAATTGATGCCAGTTTCTAAGACGAGTGTGCGCGGCGCTAAGGCGAGACCCACATGCTGAAAACCACCCGCCCTCCATCCGTGAAACTGCCGCAAATTTCAAAGGTCAGGATCAGAAACGGTCAGGAATGCGCAGGCAAAACGCCAAGTCCTCCCTACGGACATGTCTGGGTGTGCGACAGGGAGGAGTACTTCATGGGAAAGGGGGTGGAGAAGGATGAGGAGGAGGCGGAGGGGGACGATGTGGAGGGTCGAGGCAGGCAGCAGAAGGGGAAGCATGAAGGCCCAGAACCGCCAAACAGGGACCTTGGACGAAAATTTGCCCGAGGGAAGGGGCCGAGGCCTGGTAGGGCCGCGGACCGACAAAAACAACTTCTCGCATGTATGGGCCCTCGTCGTGAAAAAAAAGCAAGGAGAGGCGTTGGACCGTTTGCGGAGCTCAGGGGGCCTTCACCGGGACTTGCGACCGTGCCGAATTGGCTTGGGATGAAGAAGCAGTCGCGGGGAAGAAGTCCAGACGCCTGCAGTATGGGAAAATAGAACGATGCCAGAGACCTCCAGAGGGCCGAAGAGGGGCACGGGGAAGGGGCAGAAAGGACGATAATCAAGTCCTCCACCATTCGATCCTCAATCCAGGCCTCCCAGATGGGCTCGGAGGATGACGCCGCCGGCGATGCGGCGCCACCTGGAGTCCAGTTCTCCCCACCCAGACGTCGCCGATGTAGGGGAGGATGACGATTAATAAATGACCGGGGGTCGTGTTCACGCGGCGGCGCCCGGGATGACGATTAGAAAAAACCGGCCGCGGGCTGGAAAACTATGTCTTAAATCGTTCTCCTCCAGTCAGAAAATTGTGCAGAAATAGCAGAAAACTATGTTTTAATCGTTCTCTTCCATTTTTTTGAAAATCGTCATCCCGCATTACCAGGGATGCGGCGCGATCCTCCGACCGCATCGGCTCCAGCCCCTCGTTTGGCAGCCATTTGATTCGTGCAGCGGCCGAGGCCGAGTCGGGTGAGACTCTGTGGTCGCGCTCCCTCCTCCTCCCCCCTGCGATCGCCGCTTCGGGAGGGCTCCACCGAATTCGGGAGTGCTCCACTCGATCCTCCCTCGGCGCAGGCGGCGGAGCTGCCAAAGATGCTGAGCCTCAACAGGCGGCAGGCGCACGAGATGGTGCAGCAGACGGCTGCCTGCGAGGCGGAGCTGGCCAGGATGCGCCGCGAGGCGGGCGGTTGTTGCTACCTTCTTCTTCTGGTCATCAAGCTTAATCTGCATCATCCTTATCCGTCCTCATCCTGCTCCTCCCCCTCCTCCTTCTGCTCCTCCTTCTACTCCTCTTCTTCCTGACTGCTCTCGTGCCGCCAGCCGCCAAATCATCTCGGCTGAGTGTTTTTTGTTGCCCCGCGCATCTTCTGGAGAGAGGGGAAAGGGACGACGGGAGAGGCACACGGACACCCCATAATCAACGCACGCTTGATTCTTCGCGTTGCAGTGCCGGGTCCGCGTCATAAAATCGGCCATCCTGCGGTTAGCAGCAGGTCGCGCGTGGTGGAACCACCACGCCGAAAGAGGCTGAGTTTGACAGCATATTCCAATGCCCACCCGCCGATGCGTCGAACCGATAACGGCCATGCTGCGGCACTAAATGTCAGAGAAAACTCGCGCGTGCGTACCCCTTACCAGTGATGGCGGCGGGACTCGCACATGCGCCCCCCCCCCCAACAAAACAATATCTCGGCTAGGTTGTGCGGTCGGAGACACGCGTCGCCCCCAGGGTACTGTCACTCCTCTTCCCGACTGCTCGTCCTCCTCCTCCTCCTCCCGCTACTCCCCCCTCCTCCTCTTCCTGATTGTTTGTGTTTTTTCTCCTCCCCCTCCTTCTCCTCCTCCTACTCCCCATCTTCCTCCTCCTCCTCTCCTGCTGGGCAGGACGGGCCCCAATCTAGCAACCCCAAGAACAAGCAGAAGAGTGCACCCCCAAAGCAGGCAGAAGAGTGCACCCCCAGGGCAGGCAGAAGAGTGCAACTCCCATCTGCGAGCTGGGGTGCACTCTAAGCACTGGGTGTCCTCCAATGGCACCTCCTCGGCTTATCTATCATTCGCCCGAGGAACTGTTCAATAGCGGCCCGCTTGCAGACTTGTCAGTGATCCTCCTCTTCCTCCTCTTCTTCCTCCTCCTGACTTGTTAGCTGGCCAGCTTGCCTTCGACTGGATGAGATACGACTCGAACTCCTCCTCGTACGTCTCCGAGTCGTATCCTTATTCTTTTTAGCCTCAAATGTAACCTTACTCCTCACCCGAAGAGCTCTGCCATCTGCCACGGGCCGCTCCAAGCAGAGCACAGCTTTGGAATAGTTCGTGTGGGAGGAGGAGGAGGAGGAGGAGGAGGAGGAGGAGGAGGAGGAAAAGGAGGAAAAGGAGGAGGAGGAGCAGGAGGAGGGGAACGAGGAGGAGGAAGATGGGGAGGAGGGGGGGAGGGAGGAGGGGAGGAGGAGGAGGAGGAGGAGGAGGAGGAGGAGGAGGAGGAGGAGGAGGAGGAGGAGGAGGAGGAGGAGGAGGAGGAGGAGGGAGGAGGGAGGAGGGAGGAGGGGGAGCAGCGTGCTGCGCCCGCCGTGTGCAGGCCCGCCATCCCCGCCAAAAAGCACGTGTCAGAGGAAGGCGAGCGCGGGGAGGTTCATGGTGGGCTGTGGCCTCGGGGGGGCGCGAACGCGCCGCACCTTGCAATGGATGTGTGGCCTCGGGAGCGCAGAGCCGACGCAATCTGCGAAGGGTGCTGGCTTCGCGAACGCGAGCGCACCCTGGTCTGAGAGGGAGAGTGGCCCCCGGAGCGCGAATGCTTTGTGATTCTTCGCGCTTCGCGTACCCCCACCAGTTGTGGGAACCGAGTGTGCGATTTTGGTGGCGCCACTCAGTGCACCAGTTCGGGCCTTTCGGCACGCTTTGCAGTCGCCGCAGATGCTGGCTCGCCGCCCCCCTGGTCCCATCCTGGTATGCAGCCCGCGCCATTTTGGCCGCGCCCCAACCGTGGTTGGCCAATTTGCGCGTTGCCCTGGCTCAGCCCCCGGCAGCCGCAGCCTGCACCCTCACCTGCCGGTCCCGCCCGCCGTGGTGGTGCCTGAGGCCCCGCCGCTTTAGGTAATTCGTCTTTGCGCGGCCCGCTCTGAGTCGACTCGCCGCTTGCGCTTTCGCTTGCGGCTGCTGACAACAAAAAAAAACACTAGTCCGAAGCCATCTGGCTCAAGCCGTCTCCTGGGGGTGCTCCTCCCCCTGGGGCCAGGGCTCGATGGGGGCGCCTGTACGCCGCGCGGGCGGGCCGGCCGCGCGCACTGGGTGGGCCACGCCGCCGCGGGCGCCATCGGCACTGGAGGGGCCGGCTGCCCTCCCTCTCTGGCTCCGCCTCGGCCTCAGGCGACGTGGGGATGAAGGATGAGACAGACGGGCTCCCACCGCCACAGGGCCCTGCGGACCGATGTTGGGGACGAATGTGAATGGGCTACTGCGAGGCTTGGGCGCCCTCACGCTGCCCGCTGACACTCGAAACCTCGGATCCCTCGGGGACGTATGGGACCGCTCGGGCGCGAACCCAGGAGACGGGCCTGCCTCGGCCACGCACGCCCCTCGCACGGAGGATCGGGCCTCGGATCGCGCTGACAGGATGGGGGAGGCTGTGAATGCGCCAGCACAGATCGTGAGCCGCGCGTCAGGAGGCGATGACCCCTATCCCCTTTTATCTCTCTGTCTAACTTGGATGTGCTAACGGCGAACAACCGCCAACTTCGGGAAGAACGCGCACCAGATGCAGGTGCGATGTCCAGTCGCACACCTGGCCATTAGTCCCCTAACTCCTCCGGCTATGCGACCGTCAATCGTCAGATTGGGGAGGAACCTGGGGACGCTCCACCTCTTATCAGTGAGCTTGCGACGATCAGTCGCCTACCCAGGGAAGAAGACGACACGAACAGCGCGCCCTCTCCATCATGTCGCGTCCCTGGGGAGCCATCTGACGGCGACATTACCCCGACCGTCCCATTTGACCTCGCCCAGGCCTGGGGGACACCCGGCACTGCCGAGACGCAACGTAACGGCAACCTTGACGGCACACCCTCGGATGGTCTAGACTCCCGCACGCAACGTCGCAGAAGTTGGCGTCCGCGCCTTGCTTCAAGGTGCGCCACGAGGCAGAACCATGCAGGAAGCTTCCCAGCGACGCACTCCCGAGCCACGGATGCCCGCAGATGCCGAGCAGGAACGCACTGCCGCCGCGCTGGTGGGCGGACTCAGTGACAATGATGATGGCCTGAGATGGGCATCGGCTGCTGGACCGCGGGACTTGACACCAGGGGGGCCTTCCCCTCGAGCCCCCCCCCCGAAAACGGCGTGAGGCCACGAGGGGGGACTCAGGGAGATAGTCGTTCGTCCCCGCCGACCCAAGGGGACGGCGGAGTGATACTGGATCGGGCCGCCCCCGTCCGAGTAGATTTGCGTCGCGACGGAATCCTGATCGTGGCGACCTTCCGGCCCACCCGCCACCCCCTTTTGAGAGTCGCGAGGCCCCTCTTCCATGTGTGCTGGGGGCGATCAGCTGCTCCCCCAGGAAGAACCAAGGAGCGCTGCGAACCATGACAATGTGATTGCGGCGATCAATCGCACACCCAGGGTAGAAGATGAGAGAAACGAAGCTCCTCCCCCCTCACGCGGCACACCAGAGGAAGCATCGGAAAGCGGCATCACTCCCTCTGTACCTTATTGACCCTCTACAGGCCTGGCAAGGACCCGAAGGCGCAGCTATGCGAGGCGGCGATGACGAGGACCAGGCCTCAACGACCGATCGACTCGGATGCCCACGCCCCCCTCACGCCGACTTCCCCCGACGACGCCCACCTTGGACCAAGGTGGGACACGGGACACGCGACGCGACACGGCCCCCCCAAGAGGCGCCCAAAGGCACCCCGCTGAGCAGGAGGCGCCCACAGAAGGCGACCAAGGACGGACAGCCACTGCACCCGACGACGAGCACGGCGGCGATGAGAACACCGGACCGGCGATGAGAGCACCGGCCACCAGACGGACCCACCCCACGCGCCCCCACTCCCGCGAGCACAGACGGGCGCCAGAGGAACGCCCGCTCCGCCTCCGACCCGAGTGGACGACAGAGCGGGAGCGGATCGACCCATGCGATCGGTCTTGCCGCGCGGACTTGTCGTACACCAGGGGCGGCAAAACGGGGATCTCACAAATGCGCTACACATTCTGGTCCCACAGTCGATGAACGAGCAGATCTACGCACACTTGACTCGCTGGGCTTGGTCAGCAGCCAACGAACTACAACCTCCAGTGCAAACGGAGTGGGCCACAACACGGATACCGCTACCACGGGACGGCCACCTCAAGCGACTTGACCTTGAAGATTTATTTCGCCACGTCGTGAGATGTCGCACCACGCGCCCAGGAGGGGACTACGCGGCGTGTACCACACATTTGCACGCACTCCAGTAGCCGGATGCTCGTTTGCTGCCTCCATGGTTCGAGTGCACATCTTCGTCCCGCTCGACACGATGGCCTTAGCTCAGAACGTTCCGTTGGGCATCTTACTCGACGATTGTGGTCCCAGCATTTCGGGAACCGCCTCGCAGGTCGCGCATGCTCTGACGGTCGGTGCCGAGGCGCTAGAGCATGCGATTGTGCACGACCTCGGCTTGACGAAGAAAAGCTTGTCTCAGTGTCGCCCGGCAGGCAGGCTGTTCTATCGCAAGAGAGCGCATTGAATCTCGGGCTGGAAGCCAGGTCTTTCCTTCTGTGGCCAATACGGGGATCGGCCACATGGGTGGCAAGCCCGGGTTTGCTCCAAGGTTGTTTCAAGTTTCGTCCCCACGCGTTCACTATGGAAACAAAGTGGATGCATAAGTCACGACAGATTTTAGGCAAGCACGCCCGCAAGCTCTTCATCATCGCGCCTTTCCCGGGTGATTATTATTATGAGCATTATCCTTATCAGTGCTATCATTCTGATGATTGCGTCGAGGTTCACGGGATCCCGGGCTACGACTGGGAGCTGACCCAAATCAGGGTCCATGTCCTTCGCTGTCACCCTCAATCTGGATCAGGGGACCGCGTTTCACGGGCCAGTCGCGCCCATCGCTCGGTCTGCGAAGGAAGTGTGGGTTTTGAGGCTTCGGAGCTACCAATGCAACCTCTCCGGTTCCGAGCTGCGGGAAGCTTGGGAGACGGTCTTTCGGGGCCTGAGGGTCACATTCTGGAAGCAAGGTTCGGGGCCGATTTCGGCGCCCACGCTCGAGGATGGCATGTGTGTACGCATTGTGGCGTGGTCGGGGTCAGAACTCATATTCCTCCTTCCTCTTCTTCTCCTCCTCCTCCTCCTCCTCCTCCTCCTCCTCCTCCTCCTCCTCCTCCTCCTCCTCGTCCTATCCATCCTCATCCCCAACCTCTTTGGAGCCTCCTCTCCGTCCGAGCCTCCTCCTGTATCCCTCTTCATCCTCCCCCCTCCCCCGCCTCCTGAGGCCCGCAGAGGGCCGAGACCACCAATCAAGCACGAATCCGATGTTCGAACCTCGACCCTGCCCCCCTTTTACCCCCGCCCTGCCCACCTTTTACCCCCGATCCTCCTGCAGCTTGGAGGTGGGAGGCTCCGTCCTGGCCCCAGGTGCTGCACAAGCGCGCCCAGGAGATGCTCAAGCCCCGGATCATCTCGACCACCACCACCAGCTTCTACGAGGGCCCCGCAGTGGTGAAGCAGGTGGTCGCGCGGTCCCATATTCTGGCTCATTCCCCTTTCCTCCTCCTCCTTCTCCTCCTCCTCCTCCGTGCCCCTCCTCCTTCATGCCCCTCCTCCTCCTCCTCCTCATCCTCCTCCTCCTCTTCGTCCTTCGACTGCGCACTTCTGTGTTATTCCTCCTCCTCGCCCAAGATTCAGACGATCACTACAAGCGGTATACATTGTCCCGCTTCGTCGTCTCTTCCTTTCTTCGTGTTATAGCAATCGTCGTTGTTGATCTCGTTTCCTCTCACCTTCCCTGCCCCTTTCATTCTCCCCGAGTTGCCAGTGATAGAGCTGTGCGAGGGTGCGCACTCCCCAGTGCGACTCCTGATGTGGCTGTGTGGGGGGTGATCATTCCCCAGTCAGTCTCTCGACTTGGCTGTGCAGGGGTGCGCCTTCCCCAAGGCGACTCTCGGCATGGCTGTGTGGGGGCGAGCCTTCCCCGGTCTGTGCTGCATGGGGTGAGCATTCCCAGTCTGCCTCATGACGTGGCGGTGTTGGGGGTGAGCATTCCCCAGCCTTCGCGCAAGCTCTGTCGGGCGTGTCCTTGCCCACCGTGCCGGACGTATGCGGGCGGGTCGCGCAAGAGCGCCGTGTCCAGCGAAGACCTTCAGGCACCAGCGCAAGAAGAGCAAGCGCATTCGCCCTTCCTGGAACAGCGGCCAGCCACCGTGAAGGCTGTGCAAGCCGCCAGCGTCCAATCTCTACAAGTTACTCCATACGGGTACGTCTCTCCCCTCTCCCCGGAAGATGAAGAGAAAACGAAACAAAATAGCCCGACCCCACCTCCGCGTCTTGTGTTTTCACACACAGGATGATGCAATGTTTTACCGCCTTTTACAATTCGACGATTGCTCTCGGTGCTTCAAACTGGTGCTCCCGCTGCAGCGTGGGCCACATTTTCGGATCGGCGTTGTGCCTCCATCGTTCAGAATGGCGCTCTCGTCCCAGCGCGGGTCACTTTTCTGGATCCGAGTCTTTCTTCATCGTGGTTGCCCCCCTTATTCCCCTTCTCCACCTTCCCCTGGTCCTCCTGTTCCTCCTGCTCCTTCCACCCTTCCACTACAGTTCCTGCTCCTGCTGTTCTTCTCGCTCCAGCGAGGGCGACTTCTCTGGATCCGAGTCTTTCTTCATCGTGGTTGCCCCCATCATTTCCCCTCCTCCGCCTTCCCCTGGTCCTCCTCTTCCTCCCCTATCCTTCCGCTGTAGTTCCTGCTGCTGCTGTTGCTGTTGTTCGTCCTCATCTTTTTCCTCCCGCTCATCCTCCTGGTCACCCGCCACCTCCTCATCCTGTGCACGCAGCTCCACTTTTTCTGATTGCGCCTGCCACGAAGTGGTCTTTCTGTGGGAGTCGCAGGTCGGCTATGACACGCGTCCGTGGATAATCAAAAAACCAACGCCATGTGGAGAAATGGGACGAAGGGAAAGGACGTCAGATGAGGCGCGAGCGTACGTAGCTTGTCGGCTACCCCTATCCTCCCCTTCCGTTTCTTCTTCTTACTATTATTCTATGTATTATTATTCTTCATCCCCCAACCTCTTTCCTCCCCCTCCTTTATCAAAGATGTGTTTGGATGCTTTGGGACCTTTTTGAAGCAACTCTGGAGCCCCGTTGGAGCCTCTGAGGTTCGTCTGGGACGTCGAGAGACCTCCAGGGATATCCCGTGACCTCCAGGGACCTCCAACCCTTCTCCTCCGCCGCCTCCTCCTCCTCCTCCTGCTCCTCCTCACGATGCCACGCGCACTCCCTTTGTTCAACCCCCGCTCCTCATGATCGAATTCTCACGTTCCTACGCGTTTCGCCTAAGACTTTCTCGCCGCTCATGAACCCTGAACTCGGAATTCCCAACAGCTACACCACTTAAGGAAGAGTCGCTTTCTAAACGTGGCTCTCGTCGTGACGCCGCACACAGTCGTTCTGATAGCTTCCAGCAGCTACACGAGTGGAAGGCGCTTCCGCTTCAAACTACAGTCGACCCGCATAGTAAGGATGGGCAACCTTCCCCAGGGTACCCTTGCATCCGTGCCTCCTCGGTCAATCCTTAGCGACTTTCGCTTGCCAGCCTCGTTCGAAAAACGGGATCGTGGCCGTCCAGGGCCCTGGCATCTTTACCGCGCATCCTTGTGATACGGGTCGACTGTACACGGGCGGATGGCGCGTCCGTTTCAAGCTACAGTTCTCTCGTGCTTGAGATGTTCCTATCCTGTACGGCTGGACATCTAAGACGATTGCAGCGGATCCACGAACGGAGGGCGGCTCCTTGGCAAACCAGGGCCCGCGCTTGAGACCTCCAGTGTACCACCAGACGCTGGAGCCTCAAAAAAGCATCTGCACGGATGGGAGGGGCAATTCTGTTTCAGAGCTGTGTTCTCGTTGGACATCGGTTTGGACGTTCTGCTCTCGGCGGCGAGCGAGGGGTAACATGAGAAGGACAAGGCTTGCTCAGAAGGCGGCGGGACTTCTGAGAAGCTCTCGCACCATCTGGGAAGTGTTTTGTGTCTTCTGGAAGGTTAAGAGAACCTCTCAGAAGTCCGGGGAACTTCCGAGCCTTCTGAGAAGGCCCGCCCCTTATCACTTCCCTTGCGCTCGCCGCCAATCATCCTACCCAGTCGCCCTCGATGCAGCTAGCAGCATGGACGGCAGCTCCTCTTCAGAACGGGGCCCCGCCTGAAATGAAGTCCCCCTCACGTTCCTCCTTCTGTTCTCCTCCTCCTCCTCCTCCTCCTCCTTCTCTCTCTGCTTGCGGAGGTGGTCACAAAGCCCTTCATCACAATCCAGGAAGAGCAGCCACTGAGTCTCCCTGGCAAGGCGCTGGTGGGTGCATGACCAGGCGAATGGGCTCTTCCGCGTCACATATTTAAGTCCGCTTTCCCGAAACAGTGATTGCACTAAGAGTTTCCTGATTGATTTGCTGAGCAGTTGGCTTGCATTTCAGGGGGTTCGCTCGGAGGAGGAGGAGGAGGAGAAGGAGGAGCAGGAGGAGGACAGGAGGAGCAGGAGGAGGAGTAGGAGGAGGAGGACAGGAGGAGCAGGAGGAGCAGGAGGAGGAGAGGGAGGAGAACGAAGATGAAGAGGAAGGGGATGAGAGAGGAGGAGGAGGAGGAGGAGGAGGAGGAGGAGGAGGAGGAGGAGGAGCCCGCCTCGTGCCCACCTCGTGCCGGTGGCTTGCCCTTCCAGGCTGTCGTTCGGTGGGCGCCTCGTGCCCGCCTCGCGAGCCCGCCTCGAGCCCGCTGCTTCTGGCAGCCCCTGGTCCTCGCTCGGCGAGCGCCCCGTGCCCGCCTCGAGCCCGTTCCCTGCGCCAGTTGGCAGTCCTTGGTCCTCGCTCGGCGAGCGTCGAAGGAGATCAATCGCCATGAACATGGAAACTTTTGGCGCTCGCGCGTATTTCTCGGATCCGCGCCGGGGACCCCCGGCGCCGCCCCTGGCGCGCTCCGCGCGCCGGGGAGGGGGACCCAGCGCGGATCCGCGCGGAGCGCCAAAAGTTTATGTTTACGCCGTTTGTTTCTCATTCTGGAGCGTCCATGCTCGCCTCGAGCCCGCTCCGTGCGCTGGTTGGCATTTCCGAGCATTCGTTCGGCAGGCGGCTTCGTGCCCGCTTCGCGCCCGCTCTCCGTGCACGGCTGGCGTGCCCAGGCGCTCGTGAGCAGTGGGCGCGCCCGTGCCCGCATCACGCACGCAACAGGTTGCACCGCGACTTGCACCATAGAGATTGCACCACATGCGCTGGACCGCATGGGTTGAGAGGACGGGATGTTTGCGCGAGCGTTGGAGCTGGGGGCTGCAATCTCCGCCGGCGGACTGCACCCAATTGGTTGAGCCATCCGTTGAACCGTCCAGGTTGCAGGAATTGCACCGGAGATTCCATCATATACACATCTTTATAGATGTCATTATGTTTAGATTGCACGGCAGACATTGCATTCTGCAGTTCCCACCACATGTATTGCATTTCGTCGATCGTACCAGCTATGTCGCACCTCATATTTTATAACAGATCGAGTGCACATCGAGAATGCAAGAACCGACTGTTTGGGGTCCACGATGGCAGTCATGCATTGCGGTAGAACTGCATTGTTTTTAGGGCACGAGTCGTCTTCGAGACGTCCCCAGTCTTCTAAGCGCTGGCGCGTTGGAAATCACATTCGCTTACTCACTCCATTGCTCCCTTCCTTGCTTCCTTCACCACCTTGCTCTGCACCTCCCCCTCGCCAAGCACGCCGAGCTGCAATTGAGTGGTCATGAACGCGAGCGTCTGCTAAAATTCGATGGTGTAGCTTGTTACCTGTACAGCGCCGTTCCGACGGACAACGGACTGAAATCTGATTTCAGTGTCCAGCTTCTCTCAGTTTTCGGTCGCGGCAGGTCGCAGCATTCATGTTAGGTGGATGTGGCCGACCTTGCTGTTCCCATCGCTTGGTATGGGCACGACATCGGAAGCGGTGTTTATCCCGCACCCTTGGTTTTCGGGTCATAACTCGGTTATCCGGCGGTCATTCGGGACGATCCTGGCACCCCTGGACAGCTCTCGGCGAGGCGCGGCTGTTGGAGAGCGCCCCGAGGCTGGAAAACAGCCGGGGACCACCGAAAGTGCCCGAAAACTTCAACTTCGAAACCGAACTTCTCCCCGACGCCTTGGTCACCAAGCCTTTCGGCACCCAGCCGCTTGTGGAACAGGCGTCGGTCAGTGACTGCGCGTGTCTTCGGCATTTCGGCCTCGGCCCTGCACCGGCAGGTTGGCAAGACGGCCCCCCGCGCTCGAGGGAGTGCTCCGCTTCATCCCCTTTCTTCGCTCCTCCTCCTCCTCCTGCTACTACTGCTGGCTGCTAATATTCCTCCTCCTATCCTTCTTGACCATGCTCATCTCATCGTCCTCATCCCCCCCATCATCACCACCAGTTTTGCTATTTTCACAGATGTCGATCGACCGTGCAGCCTGCTGAATGTACAGCGCATGCCCTGGGGCCACCAGCCTGGAATCTCGTCTTCTGTACCCAGCTTCTCTGGGTTTTTCACTGCAGTACAGTGCAACGCGTCGATTTAGGGTAGACGTGACCGGTGTTGTTGCCGCCATCGTTTGGCATGGGCAGGAGATCGGGAGCACGACGGGCAAGTTGCGAAAAGTGGTCCGCCCATGCTCCCCTCCCCCTTCATGTCATCCTCTCCCTCCTGCTCCTGATCCTCTGCTTCCTCCTCCTCGCCTCCCCTTTCCGGTCCTCCTCCTCGGTGCCCCGGTGCCCTCGTGTCTGAGGAGTGTCCACAGGCGGCGGACCACGAACGCGGGCGCGACGCGCGCCGCGCCGCGCCCGCGCGCGCCGGGCCCGCGTCAGCGCCCTCCTCCTCTCCCTCTGCCCCTCCCGCCTCGCCGCGCGCGCTGCTCCTGCGCGCCTCGTGGAGCCAGCGCCGTCTCGTCCTTCGCCTCCTCCGCCTCCGCCTCCTCCTCCTCCTCCACCTACTACTACTACTACTACTACTACTACTACTACTACTACTACTACTACTACTACTACTACTACTATGACTACGACTACGACTACGACTACGACTACGACTACTACTACTACTACTACTACTACTACTACTACTACTACTACTACTACTACTACTACTACTACTACTACTACTACTACTACTACTACTACTACTACTACTACTACTACTACTACTACTACTACTACTACTACTACTACTACTACTACTACTACTACTACTACTACTACTACTACTACTACTACTACTACTACTACTACTACTACTACTACTACTACTACTA